TATAATGTTTATAATTTTGACATTCTAGCTCTAAACACAATGCGAGACAACAGCGATAAGCGATTAAGCGGGGAACACAAACTCTTTCATAACGCATAATACATAAGACATAAGAAATCTAACTAATCAGAGTTTTTTATTTTAAATAAAAAAACAAAGGACTTTGATTGGTACATTTTATTATGCATTACGTGTTATGTAATGGCTCCCGCGTACAGAACGCGGCAATGCTTGCCGCGTGGCGGAAGTTGGCGCGATAGCCAATCAACGTCTCGCTCGAAAGTAATAGATATATAATCTCCACCGCGCCACAAAAATTGAACTTAATCCAACTTTTGCCGCGTGGTAAAAGTAGTATTACATCATTTCTAGAATTTTTGCATGGTAAGGCCGTATTAAGAACATAGAATTATTAGTTAGTATGATAACTTCCGCCGCGCGGCAAGTGGTGCCGCGTTCTGTGTGCAGGAGTCATAATGGCTCCTAGACATGGCGCAGCGGAAATTTTATTGAGAAGAAAGAGAAACATAAAGTGTATTAAACAAGGAAAGATTCAGTATCAATTTCATGACGTGAAGATCGGTATTCATAGTCGATTCTTAAGTACAGTCTTAAGATGTCATAAGTTAATCCGAAGACCGTATTAACATCTTAAGACATTATTTAAGACATTTATTAACAGAAAACAAGATGGCCAGAGAGAATCAAGGGAAAATGGAGCGGATTCAGCCGAAAGCTTTATTGGAATGAGTAGGGAATATGGTAGAAGCGTGATGGACATATGGTGCTGCACACACTAGTATTGTACCTACAGAACTTATAATAATGGAAGAAGTATACGGATGTTGAGCTGTGAGCAAGAAAGCACTAAAGGACAGAAATATCTTTCTATCCTGTTCTATTCTCTTATTGGTGCAAAAAGAAGAGTTACTGAGCAGGAAAAAATATACATCTTCTCTCAGTCTTGCTCACTCATTGATTGGATAGGCTACTCCTCTTCCATTACTATAAGTTCTATAATTGTACCGCACTATTGTGTGTATGTACAGCCGGTCGCAGAAAGGTTGCAACACTTTTCTTTCGATGGGTTTCTGCTGGGAATGCAGCTTACTCACCGAGCGATTGGTTCTTATTCGTGGATCCATGAATAAAAATCAATTACTCGGTGACCAAACTGCATTTCAAAACTCATCGAAAAAAAAGTGTTGCAACTATTCTATAATCGGCTGTATATATACGTACATGTACATTTGCGGAAGTTAAGCTATAAATCGCGGAACCAATCAAAGAAGAAAAACGCTATCCACTCCACTCTCTCTTGATTCTCTTTGGAGATGACCATCAGCATCCTTATTTAATCGCGCATGCGCTGTTGATTTTTACTGTTAGACGGGGAGATTTAAGGACAGCAATATACTTCCCTTCCTTGATGCCGCCTCACTCAGCTTTCAAAATTCGATACGTGCTCAACATTAGACAAATATAAAGATGGCCATCCCCAGAGAGAATCAAGGGAGAGTGGAGCGGATAGCGTTTCTCTTCTCTAATTGATACCGCCATATATAGCTTTTGTGCATGTGTGTGTATGTACATATACAATACTAGTGCGGTACAATAGTTCTATTACTTTCTACCATATCTCCTACTCACTTTAACGGCGCGCTAAACATGGCGGCTTCTGGTTGAATCCTGTCCACTTTCCCTTGATTCTCTTTGGCCATCCCGTATTTTTTCCTTTTTTACTATTTAACATTCCTATTTACAAGGGACCCCTTATGCCTTGCCTACTTTATATATACAACCTCTTTGGTTTCGATTTTCCACGCGAAACGACTCTCGCCCCCCTCCCCTTGCCTCCTTGCAAAGGGGCGCATAACTGTACCACAATACATACAGTAGCGCAACTCTCTGTCGACACCTTTGATGTGAGCGTGGTCAAAGTGGAGTGCGCATGCGCGAAATAAACAGTCGCTTAGGTTGCCATGGTTACTATCTAAACTTCTTTCTCTTTTCATCCTTTTTTCGCTCTGTCAAAACTCACTAGAGTTATTCGCGTCGCAACAAATGCGTTGAAGTGAGTAAAAGCTGTTATAGGAGCATATTAGAACATGCAACGCGAATAAACCTACTATTACAATGAAATAATTTGAACCTAATGAAAATTAATGTATATATATATATAT